TTAAGCAGGTGCAGCAAAACCTCGTCGCGTGAAGACCTTAGACATCGTACAATAATTTATATTTTCTTCAGAGAACTATTTATGCCAGAAGGGTTGATTCGAAAAGACAGAATGTTCGTTTAAATGACTGGCAGATGCATAGGGATAACGAATGCCATGCCTCTGTGAATTTCTCTTATATAATAAGGGAAAAACCGTTTGGGAGAGTGTTTCACTTCCCTTCTTTCTGAATCGTGTAAAAAAGCCCAACACTCAGCCTCAACTGTCTGAAAGGCCACAAAAGATGAGGAAATTTGGGAATATTTGCCCCCCCCCCAAAAAAAGAATAAATTAAAATCTCGTCTCTCCCGCAAAATTGGTTCTGGAGTCGCCCTTGAGTTCATTTATTAGAAACCATGCATAAGCATAATGCATAACAGGCATAACAGTTCCTGGCTAGTTGACAGCCGGCTGAATTCCTTTCAGCAGTAAGAACGAAACACCACACTATGGCAAGTTGGATCTCGTCCCCAATGGAGGCTGATTCAAACACCTTACCCCAAAACCTGCATGTATCTTCCTCATTTGTCCATATTGGGCAACACCATGCCGGTATTGTCCTCCTGGACAGCGAGGATATTCATCACACCACGGTTTTTGAAGTGCATTTATACGCCCTCAAGCAGCGCTCCAGATCGTCAAACTATAATTATACACTTTCAGTTTTTACCACCTCGTCCTAAAATTGACATAAAAACCGACAAGTTTTCATAAATCACACCCTTGCAGACAGAATTCGTCCTCGTGATAGATATTTTCTATTATTTCCTGATTTCTTTCGCATACAGGGCGTTTAGGGGATGTGCTTTTTTAGTTTACCTTTTTTTAAATTCTTGAACAAATCTGTGATGTCATTTCTGAAAAAGACTGACAGTTGTCTTTTAGATGGTACAGCACACAAAGTTGTAAATGTGGCTAAAGCAGCTGACTTTTATGCGTAATAGATATTTGCCTTTTGTGCTGATTTATTGTCCGACACAATTGAAAGAAAAGATGAAAAAAAGACAACTTATGGAAAATCAGCTGAAGTGGCACGGCGTAGGGTGCGATAACTTGCGGGAAATGTTGTTGCTAAAGTGCATTTTAAAATCAATTCAAACCGCATTCTCCAGAGGGGTATTTAAGCAAAATGTGAAAAGTGGTTTCTCCGTGAAATGGACTCTGGTTATGTCATGTTTGTCCCCTTTTGGCCCCCGTACCAACTTTGAAAGAGGATCATGCCACAACTTTCGAGTCTGTTAGACATTGTGAAGGTACAGACATTTAGATAATGTGACACTGTGAACGAATTTCATGTTATAGTCCCTATTTGCAAGTCCGACTGAAAAAGAAAGAAATAAATAAAAGTCTAGAATGCATTCAGATGCAGAGGGGCTGGCTTGTGTCTAGTCTAAGCTATTTCTGCCTCCATGGATGTGAGTCGGTTGGCTGACAGCGCCAATGAGACATGACGGAATGGGGGTGGGTTGGATCCAAAAGGCCCGTGGAGCTGTTGTCTATACAACTAGCGCGCGGCGCTCCAGTTTTCTTCCTCCAATCCCTCACGACCCTTTCTCTCTCTCTCTCTCTCTGTCTCTTATCCTCTCTCTTCCTCGTCGCCGCTCCGCTTCGGGGCTGCGCGCAGGAGGAAAGACGTGCCAGTAGAGGCGAACTGACATGCCACGGACATGTTTCCGTTGGACATCATAAACATGACTTCTTTCATAATGCATTTGCTCGCGGTGCTCTATATTCATTTGTGAACGGATACTGCGTTCGGGGTCCAATCGCTCGCTGTTTATGTTGCTCGTCCGCGGAGATGTATGAAGACGAAGTCGATGCTTGCATGGCGTGTCGTTTAGTCAGTTTATGAATATGCATTGCATGTAATGCAAAGATGAATTGTGTGGAAAAAACTTACAGCAATTCTCATTTCCTAACCGATGAGTTATCCTGTATGAAAGGTTGGAACCTATCTTGTCTTGTGAAAGATTTGTTGCTGATGTACTTTTCATAATTGGTGAAGATTATTTGTGGGGTAGCATCTCCCGGAATGGCTGATAACTTCATTGTTGTTGTTTTGAATGACCACCATGCTTTGCCTAAACACGACGCCATGGTCTAACTTGCAGGTGATTCGCTCGATTGTCTCGAGCCCTGATAAATAGGGCAAATGGAAATAGCCTATTGTGCCCTTCACCAAATTTGTGCAGGAAGTACAACGAACGCAAAGCCTTTTGGGATCACCTTGCACGTGCACCTGGCATGATCTGTGTTACTCCCCACAAACCGATTCTATCCAACGGGTGCTTTCGACCAGCTTCCACGAGTTGACTCGGATTTAACCGAATCCCCACCGTCTCGCTTGTTCGACGCAGCACCCACGGCCATCCCCGGGTTAGGGTTCGTCCCGTGTAAGCTAATCGAACGCAACCAATAATAATTCAATGAAAAACAGGGTCATTCGGTCTGAAGACAATAGCCCATCCTTGTACCCATAGTATTTGGTGGGTGCAAACAAAGGGGTAGGAGGGATCCTCGTTTATGTATGTTGGGGGGGGGTCAGCGTACCTTATCGCATGGGAAAAAAATTTAAGACCTCACGGAATGTTGAAGGTATAAGATGCTTTTGGACGAAGGGATGTTCCCTCAATCAGGAAGGTTCCTCTATAAAGAAAGACTTGAAGTACATTGGAAAATAGTGCATCACGAGGGTGCGACTGAAGGTCGGCCTCCCCATATGAAGGCTGTGCTTTGTAAAGTTATCATACAGGAAGAGGGCAGTGCCGCTGAATCTGAATGCTATAGCTGCATGCTGCCGGTTCTCGCCCAATGAGGAACAATATCTCCTGGCACACGTAGGCCCCTTGAGGTATTTCACTACCTTAGTGAGCTGGTCAGGAATAAAATCCAGTGGAAGTAAAACCTTACTTGGGTTATAAATCCATTATATTAAGTCTTTATACCCTGACCTGGACCAAGAGAGGGCGCGATTTTCCTAACAACGCAGGTTCCTTCACGCACTTTACTGGTCAATTCACAAATGACTTTGAAATACAAGCGTTACGGTCGCATCGCTTCCAACAAAATGAGCATTTCCGACCAACGTTGGCTCTTTTTTAACCGATGAGGGGGTGCTTCTGCTCGAGGGAGTCGGAAAAATCAAAGGAGCGGTATACTTACACAACGTGTGTGTTCGTGAGGCTGTTATATATACATGTAGTGCCCTTTTCCCTAGTGTGGTTCGCATAATGATGTGGTTTTTTTTCGAGAGATGGTCCCTCTACGAGGAAGCAATAAACCAACCAAAGATCGACATTGCACTCTCACCAGATACTGAGGAAACAGTTATAAATCGCAGGCCTCAACGGGGAGCGCAGGCACCGAATGAAGGCGGACAAAACACAGTAAGAAAAACAATCTCAATGAGGTGGCTCACTGTGAACCTCCATTACATGTAGGTAGGCCACTCATGAGTTATAGGCAAAGTGTGAGGGTAGTTAATTGCATACACCACTGGAGAACTTTCAGTGCCAATTCAAGGAAAACCTGGGGATTAGGACCTAGTTATTACTGGGGAGACCGGCTTGAGGTATACCTCTAAGACAAAGGGAATCAACCAAATAGGGTAATACAGCAAGCGGAAGGCGTGAAGATTAGATAAGGAATAACCCCATGTGCAGGTGTACGTGAAGAGTTGACTCTTTTGTGGTGAACATAATTGCGATTAGCCTTTACACGTTCCAACGAACTCAAGTATTTCGGTGAGGAAATAATCCTTAAACGGTTCATGGAGTAAATATTCTACCTGGTTAAGAACGCCGTCGTTGCTAAGTAATAAAGCACCCTCTCTCGCTCATGCGTAAGGTGCACATCTCATTCAAAAACACGCCAAAGGCTGCTTAAAAAGAAATTTGTGTCTTACGGTGCTTCCCATTTGACACCTTCACGGAAACAAGAAGTCCTTCTGTAGGCCTTTGGCGATAGAACTGGAGTTTGACAAGGATTTAAAAATTAGGAAAATAACAATAAAAAATAAGCAGCAGGCTAATCTCCGTTCCTGGGTTACTTCTTGAAACTTCTTCTTCCTTTTGTCTCTTGACCTTATTTAGTTCTTATGTCTCTTGCCATTGATACTCGCAGCATCATATTCGGCCAAGAAGGTCCAATTACTGTGATCTGTCCGATGTCGTTATCACTCTTTTCGCTGCTGGCCCAGCCTGCTACACGCCGCGGCTCGCCTCTATGCCTGTCCTTAGCCATCCGTTCGCTTGATAATTTCTTACCAGTCGTTGCCCAGTGCTCTTTGCCCCCGGCGCTATACTCATTAAATATTTGCAGGCCCGCTCGGGTACATACTCACTGCGTGGAGATCCTTCAGATTCAATCCACCTGCTTTTGAGGTTGCATTTTTGTTGTAATGACGGCGCAAATAAAGATACAACTAACGACTCGTCAACGAAGGCGTAACCATCCCCCTCCCATATCCAATCAGATATCTGAGTTAAAAACTGCAATATGCCAATTTTCCTCAATTAGCGTGTTTTACTTTTGGGCTAATTCTGTACACGTTTGGTGTCCATAGCGACTTTGTTTTAGATCAAATAGGCTTATTAATGAAAAACATGACCAATATAACACCACATATTCACTCATACCTTGAAAAGAGATAATTGTGCAGGTTATTTATCCGGGTGAAATACGTAGTCAAACTTATTTCGCCCGTTTTCGTGTTGAGCCGCCTTGCTTAGGGAAACATAAATGGCTGTAATTGAGACAGATACATATCGCAACCTCAGTCGCCGGCACACATCTTAGATGTGTCCTTTCTGCTGATTTCATAAGAATTCTATAGTGTCCTCGGGGTCAGTGTGCCCGCAATGAAATAAAGGAACCCGGCATCATAGATACATGCACAGTGAATTGGCGGGGGCGCTGTGCGCGCAAAGGGGGATAAGTTCCAGGCTTTACGCGCTCTTAAAAATGCCGGACAACTGAGAGCTTTCTTTTGCTCTATCCTTTAACCGAGGTTCGCCCGAGGCCAAATCCGCTGTGAAATATTCAAGCCTTCCAACAGGCCCAGGCTGTGCAGTGAGTGACTCGGACCCGCAGATAGCCCGCAGGCACCAATCAAGCGCAGAGAGAAGAAGCATTCAAGCAATGAATGGATCACGGCCTCATAAGCACGGTTCCCACCGCCATTCTCTGTACATGTACATGGAATCCAGCTCTCTGTCTCTCCCTGGACTCTGTTGCCGACCGAGCAACTACCAGCACACCTCACCCGTCACCGCGAGGGGCCAGCGCCTGCCTCGTTCACGGTCCTCCGGAGAACACACCAATCCCTCCAACATCCTGTTTCCCTCCTCTAAGGCACGTCCAACCTGTCTGGTTTTCTCAGGAACAAAATCAAAAGGAACTCGGAGGGGGAAAATATTCGTCACCGGCCAACCCTTTTACCTCCGGACTGTAAGCCTATACACTTTAATATAAGCAACAACTGCAGTGTGTGTATTGTTGTTTGCCGTAAGAAAAGGAACAGGCATACCCTGAGGCAACTTTTGTAATTATGTCACATCTCACGAGGTTTGAATAGCGCGTGATGCCCAGCAGCACTTTCCATCGCCACTGGCGCACTATTTTCACCGTCGCCATCGCTCCACAAGCCACACACGGCAGTTTTTCCACAGATTTCCACCAGTTTGCCATGGTTTTCGGGGCCTGAGAGCGCCAGAACGTGGATCCAACGAAAGGTAAGTGCCGTTGGTTCCCGGTTACCGTAGTTTTGGGGAACGGCAGTGGACCGTGGACCCCTTGTAGAACCTTCCATTTTATAGGAGGTAAAACAGCCGCGACTCTGCCTGTAAAAAAAAAAAAACGTGAGGCTTGTCGCTAGACATGGCGTGACCGAGGGCTTATCGTTGGGGTGTCGAGACTTCGAAGCCACACACAAACATTTTGCCGCTCGATTCCGTGTACTCTTTTCGCTGCTGAAAAGATCGATTTTGTTGTCGCTTGCATGGCTATTTCCGCTTGCATTTCCCCTCTCGTGTTCAAAGACCATGGCAAGCCTTCTGTGTTCGCGTATTTCTTCTGAACATGACAACATGAAGGACAATTATATTGCACATCTATGTGCACTACACGTTCATGCCTGCGTCGTGTAGACGATCATTGTCATGATTGCACGCCCTTGTATATATGCCAACTTGAACTCTAGAAGGTAAATTGACGTTTGAAGTGCACAGAATGGAGTTATATATTCTCCCCTGTGTAGCTTACCGTAATGATTCCTCTTTTCGCGAATGTTTTTGTGTGAAATCAATATCCGAAATTATACGGTGGGACCACGGAACATGATTTCGAGAGACACATTAAGCGGACTGTGTTCATTGCGATTCTTTCAACTACATGTGAATGACGTCCATAAAATTGTGTCTGTGAAGTAAGGCAGGCAGATGGACAGATCAAGGTTAGGCAAACTAGGAAACTAATTGACCCTGAGATATTACCTATTGGCATATTTTAAGTTTAGGAGAATTGTACATTTGCATAAGCTGCTTCGGGCTGCATGATACGTTCCAGGCCCCCTGCCCGAGAAAAGAATTCATTTTTTTTTAAAGTGACTACATTTCTATGAAACCTTAAATTCGGGAGATTTTCCCTGTATTTTCTGAAAATGTAACGATCTCCTCCGTTTACACCAAAAAGGAAATTTTGCACTCTGAGTACAAAAGAGCCTTTCAAAAGGCAAAGGGTTGCAAATCAGGATACAAATTAGAGAAGGAATATCTGACGATTTAACCAAGCCCCGTATTACTGACGTGGAAGTATTATGCTGCGTGTACTCGTTTGTGTAGTTCGGTTTTCCAACTTAAAATAGTACCCGTTCTAATCACTTCGGGCAGTAGAAAAGCGATGCATGTTGTGTTTTTAAACGCTGTTTTGGTTTTCGAAGTCTTATTATTTAACATGTGTATTTCAGATTTAATTCCAAAAAGTTTCTAATCAGTTAAAAGTAGCACTGTGGGTCGCATTACATCAGTAACATTTTAACACCCTGTCCTATAATGACCAGCAAACATTCTACGCCATCTCAGGAGACTCGTTCCACTACCTTCGCGGAAAATAAACCAAAACAAAAAGTGAGTGAACAATGAGCATTATTTTTTCTTGTCGCACTGTCCATGTTTGCGTCACTTGATGTCGTATCATCACTTGGTACAGATGATGTCATCTGTGACGTAGCCTAGCTGACGTTGGGATTGATTTAGTTGTCATGATGCGAAAGGGGGGGAGCATTATGTCGAGTAGAGACTGGAAAAAAAAAACAGACAGTTGGAGAGTGGAAAGATCAGTTTCCCAATAGTCAGGGAATGTGATATCACAGAGTAAAATTAATGATTCGCCACCTCTTGTGTAGACTGTGCATTGCTATCACTTAATGATGTTCGTCTCCTTTGTACCCTATCCTTGCTTTATCTGATCTAATGAAGTAGTTCTTGCTATTCATGTGGGATTTTATTGCTGTTATTTAACAATCAATGTTCTCGACTGTATAATGTTCCATGCATGATTTGGAAACAAGGAATTTGAAAGTGTTAAGAACAGTGCCACCTTACAATCATCATTTCCACCGACTATAATTATGTATCTTTAAGGTATATCCTTTTTGATATCCTCTCTGGGTTATAAGTGTCGTGGAGAACGTGATACATGTAGTTTGGACTTGCGTCAGAACTGTTTGTGCACGTGAGGCGTAATGTCAACGCGAAATGACCCCAGTCTGTTTCTTGACAGAGGGCGCTCCGAGTTGTGTACTCGCGTGCAACCCCTGAAGATGGCACCGGTTCTTTTAATAATTTTTACACCCTTGCACTCCCAAATTCCAACTGAAATTAGACTAAAACTATCTTTATCGAGTTACAAAGTTTCAGATGTTGGCTTTTGTTTCGAATGCATTTCGCGCACATACATGTAGTGTGAACCAGCCCACACATCTGTTTAAAACCAGCAAACCATAGAACAAACTATTTTGCAAGCATTGTATTCAAGGCAACAGCAGTTGTTTCGGTTGCTATTGGAGGTTTCTTTCAGTTAAGTGTGCTCTGAAATGTAAAGGTTGTGTTTCGCATAATGTCGTCAGTGCTGGCATAGGTATCATACATAAATAGGTAAGGTCAATGGAGGAAACTGCAAGGATTTATTTAGTTACTGCGACACTGAGGGGGAGAGTCTAAAAGCACAATTTTTCAATGAAGTTTTATGTGGCCCCACCGTGACATCTAAAAATCGTCCATTATCCAATAAGTTCAATAAAATGATATTTATTCTTGATTCAAATTACTGTCAAGGGACTTGTCATTTTATGTTTTCAAAAGTGTTTTACAAATGAGGCAAATATTCACTGGCAACTTGTGGTCAGTTCAACAGGGAAAAGAAACATTAGGCGTAGGTACAGAACACATTCATTTTATCTCATTTTATGATGTGATGATAAATGATGCGAAAGTAGAATTTGTCGGTCGTTTTATTTCTTGGTTTGGTGGGCTGCTGCTGGTTGTGTCATAGTTATATCCTGGCCATGTGACTCGGCCCTCGCACTTACAGCAAAACTTTGCAGATAAAACAAGATAAAACTTGTTTTGCCCAAGTCTCCGCACTTCCAAGAATTGGCTCGTCGAAAAGACAAACATGTTGTCAATAGAATTACATGAATATAGTTTGCGCTTCATCATTTAGCATAATATGTACCGTGTATGTTGGGTGTTTTCCCTGAGCGTGTGACAAAAACCTAACACACTAACATTGGTGATGGGGCTCGAACCCACGGCCACAATGCGTCCATCCAAACACTTGTACCTTATAGTTGAGGTTGTCTAGCTAGTGGGTTTATGTTTTCTGCTGATTACAAAAATTGCTGAAATTTTCACAACATCGTGTCATTATGAAAAGGGAAAATGTTTGTTTTTCACAGACAAGAGATAGTTCGTATCATTTTGCCCTGTGCAACAACCTTGCTTCCTTAACTTTAGACATTTCGATTTTGGTTAATACAACGTCAGAACTTTCAAGTTCAGGAAACTATTTTAGATACAGTACAATTCTACGCAAAAGTGGAAATATAGTCAGGCTGTTATACCAACCTCATTTTCATCAGAAATCTCGAAACAAACGAGTTTTTCTTTTAAAATACGTATTACCATCACGATTTATTATGAGGTCGGTAATAGTGTGAGAACATTTCCTTATTGGCGTGTAATTGCCCGTCGTCATATACGAGCCTTCATATTGTTTAATAGTTTTAGTCCATGCAAGTATGGATTTAGACCAACTGCTCACATTCGCAATAATAAGTCAATATAATATATCTTAACAATTAATAACGTTGAACATTGTTGGTTTTGTTATGGTGACATTTTTCTGAAATAGCTATAAATGTCCCCAGGAATATTGTGAATAAGCCCATCGATGTAGTAGTGTTCAAGTGACTTGGAATCTGCTACTAAGAGGTCTTGTTTTTGTGACATTAGCGATTCCTTGCCACAATAGCTGTCTTCTTGGTTTGCGTATCTCATTTCACGTGATGTCTCGATTTCTTTTACAGAGAATTGGAAACAACACGAACAAAGTTAGTTTTACAGTTGCTCACTAACAATCTGTCGCTATTATTGCACTAATCAAAGAAGCATTCGTCGCTGATTTTCGCTGCAAATCCCCCATTCATTACTACAGTTATTATTCATTTGTGTAAACCGTTCTTTCTTTGCCGGCTTAAAGCCACTTTCCTATAAGCAGCCATTCGCCCTACTTTTTTTCAGGCGGGCAGATCATGTATCCTGACGCGTGACTCCTGTGTGGACTCTCGCCAGAATTCTTTCAAACAACCCCCTTTTGACGGCCCGCGATATTTTTTTGCCCGTCTATGGTTGGTTAAAACCATACCACCGCCGCAGAATTCGCCCCTCGCAAGCCCTGAGGCCCCGCGGCGGTGTCAATTGCCGATCCCGCTCGCACCTTATTTGCCAGGGTGGGTCGCTGACTAGTCCGTCACCCTGCTCCTTTGTAGGGAGACAATGTTGCCTTCCCAGGACATCTGGCAACTGTTTCTAATTCCTTTTTTTTTTTTTACTTTCTGGTTTTCATAACTGCTGATTTAAGCGGCAATCGAAACTGTTGACTGTAGCAAAGTCGGGGCAGCTGGTGGGCTGTCTAGCCCGAGACGAATCTCGTTAGTTGTCAAAATGAACAATAGACTGAAACAACTATTTTTCTGCCACAAAGTCGATCACCTTTAGCATCAAATAAGTTTTGGAGGCCCTTGAAGATATCGCTCGTGCGCGCCCATGTTGGTTCACTGTAACACCAACGGCGTTGGATTGCAAGGCACTGCGTCTAGAAACAACCGAAAACGGTTGGTTCTCAGGGCATGAAGTCCACTTATGAATGAAAACTTTTCTCAACCTGCAACTTTCTGCAAGTAAACGCACTGCACTTCAGAAGGGTTAGACAGGAAAAAATGAGTGGATTTTTCCCCTTTTGCATAAAAATATTAAAAAAAAAATCTACATATGAAGTACAGTACAATATCCGTATACAGAACATTTGTGATTGCCGAAACTTCCCCTTGGCTCCCCACAGCTAACAATGAAACAGACAGAAAATGGGAAAAAATGCTAACCAACAACTTACATGAAACTACCACAATCAGTTAATTTTGGAAATACCATCGTTGGCAAAGACTCGCCTGAGAGTGCAGAAAAAGTTGACCAGGGTTTTGAAAAGATGGTCGTTTTTAGAATTTTAAGAGTAAGGGTAATTAGTTTCATGAGGAAGTCCTCTGCTGCTGTTTTGGCGCAAACACTATTTAACTACTTCACAGGTAACCGTGTATTCCTTCAGCAGAGAGAAGCGACTAAAGAAGGCGTCTTAGCCCTGTTATGCGTGAATGGAGGAACATGCGTTTTAGCTCCCCACCGATGAACTTTGGAAAAGAAGTCTGAAACCTAGAATTCCCTACAATATTTACAATGTTACATTACCCAAAAATGCCATAACACTTAAGTATGAATATCGTAACCCACTTTTGTACTATTTGGATCTTAAGTATCACTTGTTTACACCCAGTATGAAAGACCTACACCAGAATATTTTAGGAAATGCTAAAAATGCAACTGCTGCAAACAATTCCAAAAAGGTTGAGGGCCTGACATTTTCCTCTTAGCAGAATCTTTCTCAATATATATTTAAATAGATTAAAAGGGCCCAAAAAGATGTGCCTGCTTTGTTCATGACATCATGACGAAGCAGTTAGACCAAGTTTCCAATCTTTAAGATTTGAGGAAAAAATTGAGACTTCGCGTGTTTTTGTTTGTATGTTTGTTTGTTTGGCTTTTGCTCCTTATGCTTGGTTTCTTGTGGGATTTTTTGACCCCGTGTCTTCATTTTTTTTAATTACGTAGGTGTACATGCCGACCGTATCTCCCTTAACGATGTCATCTTTATCACCGACTCCATCGGGATCGGGTACTCCGCCGCCGGGACATGCACATGGCTTGCCACGAGTGGCACCTAACAACCGCTTCAATGCCCCTGTCCACATTGACGTAGGGGGCCAGATCTACACCTCGTCCTTGGAGACGTTGACCCACTTCCCAGAGTCCAAGCTTGCCAAGCTCTTCAATGGGACCATCCCCATCGTCCTGGACAGCCTCAAGCAGCACTACTTCATCGACCGGGACGGCCACCTCTTCCGGCACATCCTCAACTTTATGCGCACCTCTCGTCTGATCCTACCGGACAACTTTGCCGAGTTCGAGGCACTCTACGAGGAGGCCCGCTTCTTTGAGATAGCCGAGATGGTGGAGGCGCTGGAGAATTACAAGCTGTCCACCACCAAGACTCGGGAAAAGACAATCAAGTCGGAGAACGGGCTGGGCAACGAATGCATTATCGTGCACACAACCCCCGACTGCGGGGAGCGCATCAGCCTGAGCGGGGACAAGGTCCTCATTCACGAGATCTTCCCGGAAGTCGGCAGCGTCATGTGCAACTCCACCAGCGCCGGCTGGACCCAGGAGTCCAACCATGTCATCCGGTTCCCGCTGAACGGCTTCTGCAAGCTGAACACGGTGCAGGTGCTGCAACGCTTGCTCCACTGCAGCTTCGTCGTCATCGCCTCCAGTGGTGGGGGAATCGAGGGCTCCCAGTTCAGCGAGTATGTAATGTGCCGGAAGTATTCCGGATGTTAGAAGCTTAAAGAGTGTTGGGAAAGTGTCAAAGACTATAGGCCGCAGTTGGAATGGCTTAAGTGCTCTCAGCGGCTAGCACTTCCTTGCTTGCACTACATTAATTTTTCACTACTATCCCGTTAACACTCTCCTGTTATATAGAGATGTCTGCATGTAGCCTAGGCACTTTATGAAACAAAACTAACTTTGGTTCCATCTTCCCATTGTGCAGGTAAATGGTAATGTGGAGACATTTTACTTTGCCAACAAAGTTGTGACAGGAGGTAGTAGAAGACATGTTTGCGTTTCCAAATTACAATCATCAAAACGACAGCGTTTGGTCATTTAGTAAGTCCTTCGATATGATAAATTGGCGAAGCAGCAGTACGAAAGCGCAGATCTTGGGCTTGGAAATACCTCTGATACATTTGCCACTTGATTTTCTTAACGTCTGTTGTATTTGGAACGCGCATGACTTTATGTGTAAATGAAGGTCGCCAAGGATACATTGTTCCAGCAACACATGTTGCCAGATACAAGCCAACATTTTGAATCTCCACCAAGCTCACCCAATAGTAAACCTTGGTTTCCCTGGATATAATTTTATTCAAAAATATGCTATTCTTTTAGCTAAATCAGATCCAAGTTGTAAGGCTTTTCTTAATCTTTTGAGGCAAGACTGGATCCACCATGCAGTTTCACTCATATAATGGACTCTCCATGCACTTTAGTGTATAATTATTCAGGTGCGAGTTTAGAACCTCCCTTAATTGCACCTGTCTGCAAACCAAAAAATCCCGCTTTCCCACTCACTTGAAATGCCTGACATTTCACCAATTGTATATTGATATTAATATATAAGCTTTATGAATGTACATAAAAGTAAATTTGACGTAGTTTCAGTTGTTTAACATATATTCTGTACAGGAAGCTTTAACGAAGAAACTTCTCATTTGCGTATCTTGAAACTGTTGACTCCTAATAATGTAGTTTTATTATATCCGAAATAAGAGCGGTGTTGCTCACTACTCACTTCTCGGCCGGCTTACAAACACGAATTGCCTTCAGTGAATAGGCAAAAATACAAGGCGTCAATCAGCAACGAAATACCAAATTCCCAAACTTTGCTTGTTAAAAATGAGGACGATTCAACTGCTTGCGAGTTGCAGATGGAAAACTGTATCGCTTTGAAGGCGGATTGTCTAAAGGTTGTTGGCTGTTCTGAAAGCAGATTGAAGTAGACTCAATAGCAGGGTCTAATAGAGGCCTATCTACGGTCAAGCACGGCTTGCGCTTACCAGATGGTCCAAGTTCTTCACATGGTGCCGAGTTCCACGGTGCGCTGTACCGTATAACGCCGTGATCCGAGGGGGATGCATAAATGACTCACAATGTAAGCCATGTTTATCGGCCCCCGCGATACGGAGGGGATTTCCGCCTTACATTGGATCGATATCACCCTGTGCGTAAATGTTTTTCCTTCACCGAGAAACGTGTTTTTCTTCGCGGCTGTGGGAAATGGACCTGTGTGGTGTACTGCTTGTTGATCCATTTGTGCGCCAGGGCCACGGGTTAAAAAAAGCGCTTGTTTTCCCCCCAAAGGTTTGGGACATGATAACGGTGGGATTGATGGTGCAATGATAAATCCATATAATTGAATCGGAAGAACATTATTGCATGAGGTACTGCACTGTTGCACTGTTGTCCAGAAGCAGTGTAGATCAGCAGGGAGACACATACGTGTCAACCTTTATGCAGAGAGAAAATTGCCACTTTTAATTTCAAGCTATGCAAAAGCTATAGTTGATCTTATTGGCTGAAGACCGAATGTTTCAAAAATGGCAGTCGGTGAATATCATTTTGCCTTCTTGGTCTTATCATAGAGCGAGGAAGCACAGCTCTATGGCCTGATCTTACAGGCTATACACAGGTAAACCATGCCGCGTTATTATTCCCGATTGAAGCATCGGAGGCTTTTGTGATACACGCACAGATTCAAATTGATGAGTGCATGCACTTCCTTAAACACGGGAAATGCAAGTCGTTGGCCGTTGTGGCTCATGGGCTGAACGACTAGTGATGGTCCAATCAGCGAACTGCAAACTTTGGAAGCGCGTAATTTGCGTATGGACGAATGCGGTGACCATGGTGACGCATCCACTGGTCATTTTGCGATGGACCCCGCCAATTGCTGATCAACACTGGGATAACTATTGTTGTAGGGAACCACTGCTCTTTGACAGTCGCTCGGTTACAGTACAAACCCAATAGTTTCTGCCATGAAAGGGTGTCATTTGGAATGTCCACTGAAACACTCGCTGAATTAGAAGGCTGGGTCGGAAATGTTACCATAAACCAGCGATAAGCACTAAACATGGCCACATTTCTTGAGATCTGAACATTTCATGTTAGTCAGCGAAGGAGCTGTGAAGGCTCTATACCTAGGCCTTCACGCAAGCGGTACTTGTTCCAACGCGCTCGGTGGCATGAGCTGGTCACATACCATTCTGAAGTCGAATACAGCTCGTTTGTAGCATCGGTGACAGAAATTCATGTAGTTGCTTGTCATTTTTGATCGATGACAGAGACTATAGCACAAAATGAAGCATCTATTTTCAACAGGAGCAGCACTGACATTATTATGTTAATGCCCAATCTCGGTATATAGCAGTTTTGTTTCACGAGGGTTGGGGCTTTACTGTTGACATGTTTACAGTTGTTTTCATAACTGAATTCCCTGCTAGGTTTGAGGGGATGCACATTTGGGCGGACTGTGGCTTGTGTTTCTCGACGCTGGACTTAGCCGCTGGTTTAAACACAGAGCTATTAAACACCGCCCATGGTTTAAATAGGTAAGAAATGTGTGAAGTAGTGGATATATAAGTCGTTAAAGTGACGGGTCCCAGAATTTCTGAGCTTGATCGATTCAAAGTATAACTTGAAGAAAAAGCTGTTTTGAAATGATATTATTCAGAGTGCATGTTGTGATCGTAGAGATAATTGTTATCGATTTTAATATGCGCAACGAAAAGAAATCTCAATCTTGCTACAGGAGACGTTGCATTACAGAGTCAGTTTGTGAGAGAAGAAGGTAATTTCCTGAATATTACATTTCCTTCGCTTGTAATATTGTACCCTTTTTCAGAACAGAGCTAAACAAAACAATCGGTAGCAATTCACTGCTTTGATGGGCGTGTAAATAAGTAGGCAATTGCTACTTTTGCTCTTTTACAAGTAAACATGTCTGTCAATAATCTATAGTTTAATTGATATTCTGGTATAGTATTTTACTCATAGTGCACTCACATTATTTGTATTAACAGAGACCAGTCACGAAGTCAGTGGCGAACATTTTCACTAACCATACTTTCAGCTTTATTTTTTTCTAATTCTAATTTCAAAAGGTGAAGACAGCTTATTTGAGAAGACTAAAAAGAAGGCAGTTACTTGATCATTTGACTAGGGACTTTATAACTGTGATTGGCAGTTTTCTTCGAGCCGCGTTGAATTGTACATATATATGTCATTATGCTGATTTGCACTCATTTGCATGAGACAGACATTAAATGTTACTTTGTATTACATAGAAATTGTGGGGAAGAGCCTGTATCAGTTGTTCCGAATTAATTAGTCTGTATCTCTCGCTCCCCTACCCTCCTCCGAGTGGTTCGGGCGGTAATCTGATCCTCCTGCGTTTCATTAATTGGCTATGATCGTTTCATGAAGAGATCAAGCTCAGGCTGGTGGACTGTAATCCTGCGGTTGATCCCAGCGCGTGTGGCTTGCGAATCGGACCGTATCTTCCGTACAGCACTCGCCAGATCCCCCCGTCGGTCGCTTCCGTAGATTTGATCCCCCTGCCTGTGCTTACGATGACGGGTCGGTGCTTTCATCTCACATCACTGCAGGACATCCCAAGCACTTTACCATCGCGATGGCATTAGTGTCTCTGTCTTTTCCCTAAAACCAGGTTCCTCTTTCCCATCTTCTCCGAACTATTTCTTATTTTTCCTCCGAAGTTGTTCCCCTCCGGCTCGTCGTGTCATGTAGTCCACAGCGCGAGGAACGTGCTTTGAGTTTTCTAAAGTGTCGGTGCGATGTCTTTCATGTAAGTGATCAACCCGAATAATGACCACTTAATGACAACATGTAGATGGCCTTACAGGAAAAAATCCCATAATTCTACTACTCTGAGCGTTGTGCATCTATTTCGTTTTGGTCTGATATGTCTGCCATGCAGCACCCCTAGTCCTGGATGTCAGGCCCTACAAAAAAAACAGAGACGTTTCCAGGGGATCAGTTTTCAATATTTCTTGCAATCTGCTGATGATTACAAATTTATGAGAATATATATAGTTATCAGAATAAATCAATCTTTTCACCCATGAAACTTGCCATTTATTCATATACACGTCTGTTGGTGTAGTATTCTTACATGTTCAAATTCCTTGCCTTGCTAATGCTAGCGGAACGTCTCACATGATAGAAACTTGTGGGCGCTAAGTGTTGTCATTCGCCTGAATAACATGTAAGTATCATATCTTTGGTTATATCATTCAAATGGTGTTTATGACATCGACATTGCCCGTGTGTGAGTAAAATAGTGTTTCCTGTATTTTTATTGTGAAGATGAACGTGTATAATTTCTCAATGTTTTGTTAAAAAACCTATGTTCCACATGGTGATCGGCCATTTTATTGGTTCCATGCCCAAGGTCCCCTTGAAAAAAAAAAGCTTTGCGTCATGCGCCCTCCCGCTTTGAGATCCGGAGAGAAAAAAATCACCATCAAGATATTTAATAGGACATCTGTCCACCCATCCTCTGAGCCAAACTTCCTCCCTCTTCCTATGCCCAAGGCCACGCCTCCTCCTCTTCCTGTCCCATGAAACGTACATGAGCGCCACGCCCCGAGCTCAATGGGGCGCCATCACTTGTATTTAAAGGGGCAGTCGAGGTGACACTTGTGTTGTTTTTCGTTACCGAGAAACAGACTGCCTCATCAAAGTTGCTTTACACTGCTAAATGTGGAAAGAAAACTAACTTTCTCCGTGATTGTTGTGATGTAAGTTGCTTAACTGGATTGTACTAATTTTAAAATTATTTTTCAGAACTTTTTCGAAGTAGAGTAATTCTAATCTCTTTCATGGGTCTTTTAACCGGGTTCTTTACAAAGGTTTGAAAACTTCAGAATAATTCAAATCTAAGAATAAAAAGAAACTACTTCATATTGTGCCACTTTGGGAACCCTGCGTAATACAACGTTTCATTGTTTATACTGTTTAATACAGTTCCAGGGCATTGGTTGAAATTTTGCTCGCTCAATATCCACATGACACTATACTAGTTTCTCTTCAAACTCCCTTTTAAATATTCTAGTGCATCTGTAATTGGGCAGTAGTTTTGGGGGAGGTTTCGTTTATATGAACAATCTGTCCTTGATGAAGTGAGTAGAACACATGCTGGCCGATTATGTTTCTCTCCTGAAAGTCGTCGCAGGTGTATTTTCGAGGCCCGTCTGTTTTTCATGCCCCGCCGTTCCCCCAAAACCTCTTCCCTTTTTGCCCGCACAAAAGCATTCTTTTCACCTCGGGCAGGTATTAGTCATGTAGGCGGGAGAGAAAGGGAGGTATTGTGAAGCTCTGAAAGAAATTTCAAACGGGAGCCCTCAGTCAGCGGTGTCCGGGCAACTTGTTTGGATTAGATGGCGAGGCCTTAGGCGTTGCCCTGGGCCCTCTGCTGGTTCATACACGGCATTCATTTTTTCTTCACCATTAAGCGTCCTTGCCTTGCGGGTTCAAACCAGCTGGCCGATCAAAAACTAAATCATGTCTGCAAAGTCCGCCATTTTCATCCATCATTTTTTTCAAGTTGAATTCAGCAATTGCTGAGCCACGTTAACAAGTTTGTTTAGTACAAAAGTTAGTTTTTCAACGCAAGAGCTTCTCGTCCTCCGGGTGTTTTGGGGAATATGTTTTTAAAAAATGTAACAATGACATTTGGTAAGGTATAGTGTGGGGCAATATGCAAAGCGTTTTAGGCAGAACAAAGCGCTGTGTCGGTGGCCTGCAAAGAAAGAGGAGCCATATACAGCTATAGGTTGACAAACAGACGCGCACATAAGGGAGGCCTTGCTCAAGCAGATAAATCTTAAGGTTGTAGCCCCCCCGAAAAATTGAAGAATAGTTGCTGGCTGTAAAAAAGCGCCTGTATCGGCCGGTCCACGTTGGCAAGGCCCCTCCATCTGTAAAGCCAGTCGGATGATGAAGTTTACCCCAGGCGGTCACGTACCGGCTTAAGATGAGTTGGCGGAATGGCCAGAGGCTGCTTTTTTCCCCCATACCAGGCTGGCCATTAATTTGACCGTATCAGGAATGCCAGGGGGCGGATACAAAGACTATTCCGATTTTTCAGGGGGGGTTGGGAGTGGAGCCTGTCGCGGTTTTAGCCCGCATAAAACGTAAAATGAAAGGATTTACCAAGATTCGATCTCCTCCAAATCTGTGGAATATCATCCCTGAGAAGAGATTTGTTTTAAAAGTTGTAAGACGAATCTCCGCTACTCTTCTCTGTCTCTCCCGAGACGAACCGACATAACTCGACGAGTGCCGCTGTGCCGTTGTGACTGAAGTTACAGTATAAATATCAAACCATTCTCTGTGAAGCGTCAAGCGGCGGGAATACGACAATAGGATCGGGTTCACCCGGGGAGTAGAGATTGAAAGAGGTCGCCCGCGTCAAACAATTCATCAATTTATTGAAAAGGACCTGTTACCATGACAGCAGTCATAGATCGGCTTCATCCACTTATCCGTTGCACCGAATCATATTATATTTACCTCTGTTTGATATATATTTTTTTGCAATTTAAACAACTACATGTATTCAGACCAATGACTGTGTTCAAACACTTCGCCCCTCGCATGATGGTGGGGCCTAAATAGAGCAAGACCGATATCGGGCAAGAAAATCTACACTCGGCCAGCAAGCCGTGGAGGGGAAAAAGGAGAGTAATCAGTATCACCACATTTCTCTCCCTTGCCGCCCCTGGCGCTCGTCTGCACTGCCCTGCGATCTGACTACACCGCACAGCCAGGCTAAACTCCGAGGAGATATGCCCCAGCAAGGCCTCGCGCGGTTACTGAACCCGGGCCGTGCCGCGAGCAAGCCCCGGGCGAGGACGACCCAGATTCGGTATACCCGCTCAAATGCACGGCCGTCTAAGGCTTGTTATTTTCTCCGGAGCGGCAAGAAACATACCCCGAGATCCGTGGGATAAAAAGTGAGAGAAAGAGAAAGAGATGGAAGGAGAGAGAACAAAGTTCCTGGGAAGTTTTGATGTTAATCCGCGGCCTGTTTTCAACCTGAATATTAAATCGTTGACATAATATCGAATGACGAGAAAGTCACTTCTTGAGTTGCACTCCTTGGAATAATATTTACCAGTGAAACTCTCGTCGGGGGTAAGAAAACAGCAATTTATTAAATCTAACCCATGAAGCTGTGGGCAGCTTAAAATATGCTTTAGTGAGTTGTATTTAGATAATTTATACATGCGCCTCGAGCCCGGTTTTTGTTCTTTTTATTTTTTGTAAAGAATCTGGTAACTTTTTAACGATAATGTGTGACAAATTAAGGCAACAACGCAGGCATGCTACAGATGACAACAGAATGATTATGACGAGGCAATTTGTGAACCAGTGAAAAGGAGCTGTTGACTACAAATGAGGCCAAAAATGTTTAACGGTGTGCGAATGTAAATGTTCTCCCATTTCGATTTTGATACGATAGGCTATACACCAGCTCCCCCCCCCCGCAATCCCCCAGTTTGATACGCAAGGAGCGAGATTTCCCCCCTCCAAGCCCGGGAAGATAAACGGGATTTAATGATTTAATTGCATCTGACGACAACTTGTCAGAAACATTTTGCAGTTTGCAAAAGAGAGTCACGACAGGTTTAATTGGAATCACTTTGCACGTGTCGGCCAGGATCAATGGGCGAGTTGACAATGAAGAATGGTGCAGCCTCGTGCTCATAGCGGGATGACCCAAGGGGAGGGGGGGGGGTCGCTTCTTCGGCTATATCCGGCAGCACACGGTAGGTGTGCGAGCACTTGTGTCTGCTGATGGTAAATCTGGGGCAGATTTTCCAAGAAGGCGTAAACAAGACAAGGGGAAGATGGCGGATGGAGATAGTCAAGCACAACACAGGATGCCGTGTAGGCGGGAAAATGATGCGGAAACTATGTTTTTTTTGTAGATGTAATGTTTGTTATTGGATATATGTTCACATGGAGATTGCTCTTCGCATGTACACGCGCACATCGGGGGAATTTTGAAAACTAACGTGATGGTGTATGTGTTTGTGTGGAAAAGTAGGTCTATAGGATGTTGATCGGAATAATTTGTTTGCCAGAAATAATGTTGAAGATGGTGTTGATGGTATGGTAAGTAGGGCCTAAAGGTGGTGACGGCAGGGATCGACAGCAGGATGCATTTTGATCGTTGCTGATGGGTGGGTGGCGGCGGTTATGAGGAGTCGCAGTGATTTGGGGTTGATAGAATGTACATATGAAGGATAATGGGGACATTGGGTTGATTGTAACAGTCTGAAAATGATTTTAAGAATTTTTTGGTACCGCACTGTGCTTTCAATTGAATCCGGGTGCGTCTTGTGTTTTATTTCTCCATGGTCTTGCCAATAAAATTTAAATCTCGCGCGAAATACATGCATTATAAACTCTGGAGGGCGCTAATCGACCGAAAGTATTTTGTCCTTGGTTGGTTGGTAAATGTACACAATGGTACATTGGCCTAGGCCTACCGCATGTACACGTAGCTTTAATGAGCGAGAAATTGCAAAGAGTGCAATATTACATGTAACATTATTAACAAGATTAATCAGTTAATATTATGCCACTGTACTAGAACGTAGAGGCACGTGTTACTGCTTTTATTTCAAAGCAAGATGGTAAAAACAGTGGAAGTTGCTTTGTTCCTTTGCTTCGTGCAAATGCAAGTATCCTTGGGACCAATTTCAGCTCAGCCCACAGCAGACGAGGTAAAGTCGCTGCCTGGTTTATCGGGTCCCCTAAGTTCAAAACAGTACTCCGGATACCTACAGGCATCGGGCACAATCAGACTGCATTATTGGTAAGCCAGTGTCCGTTTTAATGTACAGATTTTTCTCCTACTGTTGGTGTGACATGTACAATGTAGTTCTCCGTCATAGGATGTATTGTTCAGGTTGTATAGACAAGAGCACAAGAAATTGTGAATTAACAACAGAAATATAGACATAAAACGACTGATTTATTTACATAGATGATCAGCCATCTTTCCAACCCCCGGGCATGGTTACCCACAATGCCCATTAGAACAATATATTAGACTGGCAATAGTCCCGTCACAGTTTTACTTCGTTCCCCACAAACTGACCAACATCATGACCAAAGTAGTTTTGAAGAAAGTTCTCAGTGGATCATACCAGCATGACTGGTAACGTAAACAACAACTGTCATCATGGTCATTCATGTCATTTGAAAGTGGCTGCATTAGTCACCAGTGTGCACTTTACATGTGCCGATATATTGTACTGTCTGTTGGATGTGTCCTGCCGAAAGGCCATGAGAATGAAATTGTAGAATTGCGTCCACCGCCAACATGTCCCAACGTACATGTAACTGCCCTCCAAAAATCATTTTTAAACGAAAATTTCAGTATTTGTATTTATTGTAAAAAAAACAGACCCTGATCCAGGATAATTGTCTCTTTGAATTACACGTACTGTAATAATCAGTACAAGTGGTTAAGAATACATTCCATTGTTATTTCAAGTAAAAACAAAAACCAGAAAAAATTCTGCACAAAAGGGAATTGGTACTGAAAACTCACCAAAAATGCAGGTCCAGAATGACTCAGCACATTTTAAGAGATCCATTATTAGGTTATGGGCAAGTGATTTTGATAATCAGGTTTTTGATGCTACATGTACATTGTATGTCTTACCTGAACATCATTTACATGTACACTGTATGTGAACCTATTCAGAACATAAAATGAAAGTTTTTGTTTTGAAAAAATTCACAAATGAATAGAAATTGGAAAGGTAACATTTCATTGCATCTGATGAATAAAAACCTACAGTTCTAGCACATACATGTACATATATCAAGGCTGCATGGAAAAATTTGTTCAAAGTGGCATCTCGCTATGGCAAGCTATGCACATGTACTTGTACCTCACCACAGAGAGCTTGCTGGGAACTAATCAAAAGGGAGAAAGGTGATTGCTGGATGCAAAGTGGACATGAAGTGCTTTTTTTGTAAATTTAATACACGTACATTGTACATGTACATGTACATGTATCTCATAGAGAGCAGCTGTGTTATAAATCAGGCATACATGTACATGTGTAGCTCTATGATGTACGTACATATATGTACAATGTACTTGTAAATGTGCTTTTAAGTGGATAATGCTGGTACAATCTTATTATTGAGAAAACGTAACTGCATCATCTACATGTTTATTGTACAAATTTTAAATAGATGAGAACTGTGTACATGTACATTTAATTTTCTGGTTAAAAAGTGAACAAAAAAGTGCTTTCCCAAACCACCATTTAAGATGAGAAACTCTTGATCCCTGCATGCTGCGGCGCCATATGCTAGCTGTTTTAAATTACTGTAGAAAAGAAAATCTGTCAAGTTCTTATTCATACCTGTATTCACATGTGTATGCATCTAGCTGTGGAAGTGACTGTCACTTCAATTTTTTTTCAAAATGTCGTCACACCGTGATTTTGCCGGAACAAAATCCCTGAAAAATGCAAATAAAGTTAAATAAGGATTGCATTAAAACTGAATTTAGCAGAGATTACATGTAAGTGTACATGTACATATATTTTTATTGATGCAGCTGCCAATCACTTCGTGGATTATTTCAAATCAGGAGCATACAAGTACATTGTATACACAGGTTTTATTTGTTCGTACAATGTCATGAATGTATTCTGCTTCACAAAGTACATGTACTGGAAATTTTAAGCTGTTCAATTGATTTCTTGATTGACAAATTCATTAGAGAGATGATTCTTATAAAAGTTTTTTTCAGAACTATCATATCCCTGGATTTAAACAAACATTTAATTAAAAAAAATCAGTTTGGTCTTATCTGCTTGATATTTTTAATCTATTGAAGACGTAAATTTAATATGTAGGCCTGTTTAATTCTCCTACTTTTAATCAATTAACCCCTTTAAAATGAAAATTTAATAGACAGTGTTTTTTTTCTCAAATATATCAAGTAAAATGGTAAACTTACTACAATTTCCATCCTTTATTTAGCTCTCCAAAGAAATTTATCACTACAAATTATCCAGATGCAATGAAGAATCTTACAGCAGATTTTATACAGATATTTAAAGATTCAAAAGTTCAAACTTCTAAATGCTTTTAATTTAAAACCTGATAAGGTCAGAGTGATTTACATGACACATGATTAGGGTACACGTACACCGGTAGATGTGTGCTCAAAGTTACAAGTTCATATTTTAAAAAGCCTTGGAGAAAAGCCACAAAGAATATTTTAATGGCAAAACGAAAGAAACAAAGATTTACATGTACATGTTTAGGGGCAGTTTTAAAAGATTGACCAAGTTGTGTGTAATCACTCAAAAACAAAACAAAAAAACCAAAAGTAAAAATCACACATTAAGCGTTAATCACCAGATCATAAAACAAGCAGATTTGATACATGTACATGTACCTGAACCCATTCCCCCTACATACTGTATGTGGTCTTCCTTTGTAATGGAAATGAAAAAGTTGCAGAAATTTTTCAGCTCAGAGTTAAATGAAGTTGACCAAAGGCACCTGCATGGGCTTATTTACGTTGTATATACAGTACATGTATATACATATGTAGACAACATAATCAACACTGTAACTTTGACATTACATGTTATACAGTGTATACCTCTTATGTACACTTTATGTATTTTCATGATTTGGCTCAGGTTTGTTGAATCTCAAGGCAAACCAGCCGAAGATCCTGTACTACTGTGGTTGAATGGAGGTCCGTCCTGTAGCTCCATCTCTGGCTATCTCACAGAACTTGGACCATACTGGGTAAAACTTAGACTTGTCCTTTGTGTTTCCTTCACATTAATCTCTTCCCAACATCTCCAACCCTACCGTTACACGTGTGTACATTGTACATGTACAGTCGAGCCTCGTTAATAAGAGGTCTTTCAGACTTGGCAAATTATCTTATTCTAACAGGAACCTTGTATTATCAGGAATGAAAACAATGAAAACAAGGATTAGGACCTAAAATTGTCCTTGTTATAAGCAGAATCTCGTATTACCAGTGTTCTTATTAATGGGGTTCGACTGTACATTTACCGGCAAGAATGTCCATACTTGTAAAAGAACAACCTACGTGTACATGTACATGTAAGCTCTTCACTTTGGTTTTACTGTGCGCACAGTACATGTACATGTACGGATATCACTCACTTTGACTTCCTGCTGAAATGGACTAAGGCAAAGACAGTGGCTGTTCCTGTTGATTTCACTGTGCAAGATTTGCCTCAGGGCTTGTAACTCAAAAGTAGGTCTGGTGACATCAACCCATTTTTTTTCACACTGGGTCATACATGTACATGTACAGTGTACACGGTGGTACATGCACCGTGCATGTGTGGATAAAGCTTTTTGCCTGACATGGTGTAACGTTCATGTTTCTGGAAATTTCTGGCTCTTGTACATCGTTTGTACATGTACTACCCCCACAGCATACATGTACGTGCTCGTTTAACAGTATGGGATCTTCACCTGCTTGTGTACAGTGTATTTTGTGTGGAAAGAGTGATATTTTACTCATAATATGATTGAAACTAGGGGTAAATGGTGTCAAGTCAAATTGAGAAGAAAATTGTACAGCCTTTTCCGTTGAAATTGATGAAGGTGAATACTTGAAAACTACATGTACATGTAGCATGGACACGATGTTCTCAAAGACAACTTAGGCTGCCAAAGAAAGAGTTCTACATGTCTTTACAATTATTTGGAAGAAGAATATTTTTAATAAGGGAAAAAGTATACTTGTAATTATTCGTTTTAGTGTAGAGATTTGTTCATATAGCAAAATTGAAGTAGTGGAAAGCAGAATAAAGCCTTTCTCGGGCCCTTTCACAGTCACAGGCATTGTCCAAGCCAAGAAAATTTGGTAACCTTAAAACAAATTTAAACTTCGAGAACGTGTAAAAGAAACGACTAGTTATTCAATTTTGCTTGATCGTTTCTCCTATAAAGTCACATGCATAACTTTTTTCAACCATGCCATGGGAGTGATTCTCGTTGAGCATTTTCCATTTTGATTTGGTTTCTCAGGTCAACAGCGATGGGAAAACTCTCTCCGCCAATGACTTCAGTTGGAACAAAGTGGCCAACATCATTTTTCTGGAATCACCGGCCGGCGTGGGCTACTCTTTCGCTGACAGCCCAGATTACACAACCAATGATGACAAGGTTCAGATTTGCTGATATTCAGTTTTCCTGTTATGAAGATCTTTTGGTTTATCTATTTTCCCTCAAACCTCCAAATCCATCATCTAGTTTTGCCATGAATTTCCTGTGTCACTCTTCTTCTCCTAGCCTGTTGCTTGCGATATGACTTGCGATAACTTGATTGTGACTCTGGTTAACATTGAGAATGAAATAGGGCCGGTTGGGAGCATGACAGCTAAGAGAACATCACCCCGATACGTTGTGTGACCTACCGGTACCATGCTGGTATTGTGCAGAAGGTTGAAATGCCCCTTTATTGTCATCAAGCAATTTGTGTTTCTTTTAAATTTTTTTTGGCAGAATTTTTCTTTTGTACCGGTACTGTATGACAGGCCTGCGAGGTTTATGTGGTACATGTACATGTAGTTGTGCACTGGTATCATACATGTACAACTCATGTCATGTTTAGTATTTACCTCAAGGAGGCCACTGTTGTGTTAATTATTTTTTACGTTACCTTGTACTGCGCCGTTGATCATTTCTATGGAAACAGCTCATTATAGTTTTTCAGTTATTATCATTAATGGTTTTGTACATTTTAATGGAAGATCGTTGTGTTTGCATTTTGTTTCTTTTGTTCCAGACTGCTGAGAACAATTATTTGGCCCTTTTGGATTTCTTCAAGAAGTTTCCTAACATGGCCAAGAATGATTTCTACATCACTGGTGAAAGCTATGCAGGGATTTATGTGCCCACGCTGGCTGTAAAAGTGATGGAAGGAAAAGACGAGATCAATTTGAAGGTAGGAAAAAATCATGGTTTTTGTTCATACGAGCATAGCTTGCTAGAGTAAACTACATGTACATTAAACGGAAGGTAAGTTTGATTTCTGATTCCCGAGCATAACATGTAGGAGTTTTTTTCTCAAACAGTTCCCGCTGGAGGACACATAAACCAGGGTTATATGTACATGCAATTGGGAAGTGTTTTTTTGCTATGCATAGAGAACAAAAGCTGGAAATGTTCAGTACAAACCTTACCACTACCCTGTTTAGTAACAGTTTATTGGTGATGGCAGGGAATTTCCACCCATAGTTGTCATGACTCGAGTCAGTGGCTCAACTTGAGTCAAACTCGAGTCACAATTTTTGGTGACTCTTGAGTCTCCTCAAACAAATGACTCAACTTACTTCAAACCTCTTATGGAGACTTGACTCGAGTACAAGCTTATAAGACTCAAGTCTTTTGTTGGTTAGATACCTGTCACCCTAATTATTTTTAGTATTTCTAAATGAAAATACAAATACCCAAAAATGACTTGCATGTAGTTGTGTTCGTATTGTATTTTGTTCAAAAATTTGTGACTCAAATTGACTTAAGCGCAGAACGTGACTCCATTCCACTCAACTACAGAAAGTGACTTGACTCGACTTCTTGATCGACCTAATGACTTGAGTCACAATTTGTTATAATGACTCGAGTCAACTTGCCTTGAGTTACCAAATTTAGTGACTCCTTACAACACTGTTTCCATCTTGACAAAAAAACAGATTTTTTTTTTATTTCAGGTACAGGAACTTGATCATTCAGATCTGACTTTTACACAAAGTGCATTACCACTCTGGATTCCGATCCACATCTAAGCCAAGTTCAGTCCAATTTAAGCCGATCCAAGGTCCGACTTGGATTGATTCGGTTTGGATTCAGATTGAGAATGCACTTCCTTATTTTGATATTCATGTACTTACAGTATGTTCTTGCCAGTTTGGATTGTTAAAAAGTTGGAATTTCCTCTCATAAAGGTAAAGTTATTGTAAGGCACCCCCAACAAGTACATGTGCACAGCTGTGGGCCATAATATACATATATAGAGTTGCAGTGGGGTTATTCATCATGTGCATCAGTGTGCTCCATGGGACTGTGAGTGACCAGAAAGGGTTCTACTTCTTTGGTCTCTTACGGTCCATGATGCCCTTGATGGACTCATGTGATCAGTAACAGAATTATGCCAGTCAATACAGTTGTATGTTTCATAACAAACCTCCGTCTAAAATGTAAAATAATAAATGAAACTTTTTAGGGTTTTTATAAGTGAACTGTTTCAATTCATAAGCAATTAAAACAATTGAACAATTGAAGGAACATTTTCAGGTTTCCTAAATGCAGTTTTTGAGTTACTGTTCAATGGTTGTCATCAAGTGAAGGACTACATGTACATGTACATGTACCAAGCAAAACTTTTCGCGACGTAAAATGCCTGGCTGGGCACTGCACTGTGGAAGTTGGCATTCATGATGCCTTAGCATGTGCCCAGGTCATGCTGATGCAAATTTCATGTTCTGTCCTGTATTGCTAGTGAACCCCACGTGAGCTTGTTTCAGCCAATCAGGATAAAGAACCAGCAAGAAGTGTATTATGAAATACAAACATAGCATGGTTTGATGGTGGATAGTTGATTTTCGCTCCCTTAGGTATTGGAAGTTGTTAAACTGCTTCTCTTAGCAAAATAAACCATGCCATATTACATGTTCACTTCCCATTAAACTTTCAGGAGCAAGGGGAAGGCAGCATACATGTGCCGCCATGTGTTCATGTGTAATATTCATGTACATAGCATCATACCGGCAGCTCGTGTGTGGGTTACTTCACCCACTTGAGCCGTCCCAGGAAATCGGTCAGTACATGTACATGTACACACGAGCATATTCGACTTGTGCACAGATCCTTGCATGTGCACCTGATAGAGAGCGCGTACATGTATGCACACATACATGTAGATAGCAACTGGCACATAATGAGCGATAAGGGACTAGGGAAAGTTAAGCTCTTGATTATGTATGATTATATTGTAAATTATAAAATGACGTCCTTCCTGTAGCTATAATTGTATTGCTGCTCATGACTTCATAATTTAGCATTGTTAAAAAATGTATTGTTTATCTACATGCTAAGGGCTTTGCTGTTGGAAATGGTGTCTTAGATGTGGCTCTTCTTACCGAAACAGGACTTCAGTATTCATACTACCATGGCATCATTGGTGAAAGGTGAGTCTTACCGCATCGGAATGATGTTCTTGTTGGTCTGTTACAAGTCCATGGCAAGTACAGAAATGCAAGTCAGCCACAGCTTAAAAGTTGCACTGATTCCCAGGCCAACTGAAAGTTGAGTCAGGGCGATCACTAGTCAAGTCACCAGTTTGGTCATCACAGGTACCGGGAACATACATGTACATGTAACCACCAGTAGCTCACAGTCAATGCAAGTCGATCACAAGTCCAACTGCAAAGCCGGCAATGAGTAATCACTTGGAAAAACAAGAAATGCCAAATTTGGTCAGAGTACATGTACTTTTGTGACCCGGCATGACAAAATGAGTGTAAAGTTGCATTCCACTCTTTCCTATATTGAAGTGGAGGCCATTTTAGGATTTTCTAATATTTGGAAAGAGTTACCCGTCTATTTAAGTCCAACTTTTTGACAGGATCAGATACATGTATTTAAAAAATGTCAATTTCTCAGCAATTTTGATGATAGCATTATTGGCCAGTCAGAAATGTTGAAACAATGTCGGAAACAAAGATGCAAAGCTGCCAGAATAATGCCACATCATTACCTTATACTTTTACCCTATAAAGTGTTCCATCTACCGGGTCATACCATTGGACGGCTCTCTTTCTGCCGAATTCAAAAGTACCAACATCTCAATTTTTGAAAATTCTGAGTTTCAGCTCATTTTGTGGTGACAAGTCACATTTGACCCACTTCACCTCAAACTGGATTACTTGTAATGACTTTTCAGGGCTTGACTCTATTCTGCCAGGTCTCTGAGCTTTTTGACATTTATGGGAATGTTAAACTATTTCGGCCTTATTTCATTACACGTAGGTTGTAAGCCATAAGATTTACATGTAATTCTTTCTTCATAAATTGAAGTATGGGAATTCAATACATGAATTGGAGTACAAGAATGTATTTGCTAATAATTGTACAAATGCCGAGGAAAGTACAAACAATTTACGCAGGTACTTGCAGAATTAAATATGGAAAACACTCAGATGCTACTAGTCTGTAATCTTGTGTTGCACAATGTAACATGTGTTGCATATTTAGAACAAGCCAGTGACATGCACAGTAGTTCCACCAAATGATGATCAGACACAAGACCACCGACCTAATTTTTACGAGTGAGACCCACTTTTAAGACCACTCCTACACGTATGAAGCCTGTGTTGCCTTTAATTGTAGCTGACACTACAAAGTGGCACTTTGCGTCTCTTGAGCAGGCTCCTCTCGCACAAAATTAGCAGTACCAAGTAATTTTTCTATGAACTGTGACAGGTAACAGTACAAATTTTCTTAAGTCCAACCGTAAATTCATATAGTAATTTCATGTAGCCCCCCTCAAAGCATATTTTTCTGAAAGGTATATATCTACTACATGTAAATGCGTGCGTGTCCGTTCATGAAAACCAAAATTATATTACAGCCTGGCAGTGTTGGCAGGACGTTCGCCCCACCCAGAAGTCAGCTTGTGAAATCAAAATTCTTTATTATGTGATTTTTGCAGAGTGCTTGGTATACATGTTGTATGCGCACTTGTTTCGGTTTGTAATAATGGGGATGTATGCAACAAAAAGATCCAGTCTTTTTCTTTTTTTGTCAGTAACAATTTGAAATGGGGTTTGAAGCCCCTTCGCCACCCCTCTAAAAAGTCCTGGGTAGTTTTTCAGGATGTAGATTTCTTCATGAAAATTGAGGCACGATTTTGATTTTTCCCCATTTGTCCGATGGCAGGCTGTGGGAGAAATTGCAGTCCAGCTGTTGCAAGAACGGAGCGTGCCATTACTTGCACAGCAAAAACCCAGAGTGCATCGAAGCAGTAAGTGAGGGCAGATAAATTTCCTCTTGGAGGGTTGCGAGAGAAACGTACAGGTGTGGCTGATGAGGCCATGAAATGAATTGCAAAACATTTTCTTAACAAGCGATTCCTTTTCGAAATGCATTAGAAAGAGTGTACATGTATTCCCTCAGCTCTTTATTTTGATGTCACACTGCTTGAAATTGTCCAAAATGGAAATATTATTTGCAAATCCTTATTGATATCTGTAATGAAATGTCTGTTTCACCAGTGGTGCACGACATTGTCTTGGACCAAAAATTTCAACATTTGAATAACAGGCAAGATGCAGCAAGCAAGTTTTTTACACTGCCGAATACCACAAATACTGATTAACAAGATTCATGACTTATAAGGTATTTGTCATCACAACCTCCATGGTTAAGTGATAGCATATGCTACCACAACATGCAATGAGCAGCAACAAAGTTCAAATTCAACACAGATTTCTCAGACTTGTGTGTGTGTGTACAAAGGAAAGGAGGATTAGTGTGTTTCAACATTAGCCAGATGTGAGTTAAGGCACGCTTGACTTTTTAATTATTAGCCGTGACAGGCTCCACGGGTAAACCAGATCACATTTTGATGTCTGCTTGTGCAAAGTGCTTATAGCCTGATATGGGATCTTTCCATAGCAACATTAGACTCTTTTTTTGTAGAGGCATCTAAATATAGCATTGCTCAAAATGTTTGTTTCATTTTTGTGAATACCGGTGATTGTGCACATCTTTGCTTTTTGAGGCAAGAACTTCTTCATTTTCATCACAGAGTGATAGTTTGCTCTTTGTTTTGTTCACATTTTGTAGCAAAATGAGGCCAAGTATCTTCTGCAGCATATTGGCATCAATCCGTATGACGTGACAGGGGACTGTGAAGGGAGTTACTCTCAAGACAGGAACAGCTTCTCCATGCTGAGTTTTCTCGGTGTGGATTCTTGGGTATGCACCGTACTCTTCACATGCTCTAACTGCTGCAATCTCTGAATCCTGACCAAGAGTGCTGGAGAACTATTGGAATGACATACAGAGAAGATTACAGTACACGCTATCAAAGCGGTCAATGCATGGTCGTCTAATCTTAAAGGGTTTGCTGGAAATTTGGTCTGCAGGGTTAGACAACTCCAATGAAGTGGTGCTTATGTTGTTAAGCAAGTATTTAAATGATAAGCTTGCCTGAGGCTGGCTTTAAAATGGTCTATGTTTGAGAATTGTAAAAGAATTCCTTGTGTTTTGCATTGCTTTTCACTGGAATGCAAATTGTACATACTTTTAGTGGAAGAGAATTGTGTCGACAAAGGATAGTCAGAGATTGACCTGATCCTGTAGTAAAAAATGATGACACAAAGTTGTATTGTAAATCCAAGTTCCTTCCAAGTTTCCTCAATGTGCAGTCTTCAGCTTGGGCATACTGGTACATGTATGTAGTTTGGTCAGAGGTGCAATGTACATCTGCTATGCTTTGTACCAATAAATGTGGCCTGCGCTAGTGCCAGGCAGGTATTGCATTGTGGGAACGACTTCCTTCTCTCGGAAAGTTAAGACCAACTCGTGGGAACAAACACTGGTCTGTATGACCCTTTTTGTGTCTATATTTCAACATGTATGTTGCCCCCCCCCACAACTGCAGAACAGGTACCATATACATGTATATATCTCATCATAGTACCTGTACTTTACATATGGACAACGGTATTTGGCCCGTGGGACATCTGTTCGTGAACCAAAACTGTAAGCCAGCTGAGCGAAGACTTGCTGATGGCGATGGGCTGAGGCTTCAAGTAGTTGTCTTATTCAAGACGGGCCAAGACAGATACTGGCATGTTGTCTGACTGCTTAAGCCAGCCAGTTAAGACCCTATCATTGCAATCTGCCTCAATCAGACCATGGAAGTCTGACCCCTCTGAAGTTCTTTTATATCCTGTGGAAGAGTCTGTTCATAAAAAAGACGGAAAAACAAAGAATAAAGCATAAAGACATATGGCGCATCCGGTATTTGTAGAATGGCATGTGCAGTTGTCAAAGATGCTGACTCTTACAAAGTAAACAAATCAACATGTGGTGCAAAGCCTCAATCCATGAATTTAATATACCTATAGCTGACACCATATGGACATCAACAGTTTTTTTTGAAGTAGCGTCAGTGCCAAGTTGTACCCATTTCCGGTATGGGAGTAGTACATGGCAACGTATTTGGAAATTCATAATTCCCACAGCACCAGGATCACAGTCTGATAAGAGGTTCTTTAAAACCCCTTGTATCCGCCAAGGAGACTGCTTTCTACTTGATGGCATCCCCCAGGTTTGAAATGCACTTCCCATGTTTACATGGCTGTAACTCAAGTCTGGAACTCCTTAACCCTCTTGCGAGTATTATTTGCTTATTCATTTATACTTTCCCCACCAAATGGACAAACTGCATCACCCTCTTGGTCCATTTGAGGGTATTTGACATGTGCGTGTGTTATCCTTGTTACTGGTTGAGCCTATTTGCCCCTTCAAGGATGTACATGTACGTGTGATACAAATTATGAAACCGGTCCACTTGACTCCTGTGAAAAATTCATGGAGAGACAGGTTTCACGACCCATCCAAGTCGCATCTTCAGCTCTGACCGACCGGCTGGCGATTTTGTTGTCAAGACATCAAGGAATTTTCCAGATGACCCCCATGTAAGCCGGTGAAAGTTGTGCCGCAGCTCTCCTCCCCTTTTAAAATTCTTTCCATAAAATTTTCACGCAAGTCTAGTTGACTGGTTTCATAATTTGCATTGCTATCAGTGTACATGTATTTGTATGACTCAAAATAGACACCTACATGTATTTTATGAGATGGCATGCTTTTCCATGGCAATAATGGTCCTTTAATGGGAACTCCGAGGCACTGGACACGCTTAAAAAGTTGCAGTTAATATCTGGTGGAATTTACGGTCTCTTGATCTGTGCGTATGTGGGGTGCCCAAATGAAGTGATTCCATTGTCCTGTCTCTTCTTTGACTGGAAAAGGTTGCTTCGAGTCAGGGTAATACTGTCGTTGTCCTCACTGACTTCCTTTTACCCCTATCTCTGTTGCATGCAGGCCAACCCATCCCGCTCGTCACCAGGATTACACAGTTCATTCCTACCATGCGTCGATACCACTCGTGCCAACTCCTACATGAATTTACCGCAAGTTCGGGCGGCTCTGCACATCCCCAGCTCTGTTGCCCAAAACTGGACCACCTGCAAGTAAGGTGGTTTCTTTCTCAAGAGTTTTCACATTTTCAATATGATGACTAACCTTGCAATTACGAGAAATACCGTTGGTAATCTACAATGACTAGGCTGAAGTGTCAAATTGAATATCTCTGCAGATTTATATTTACCAAAACAAAGTAGCCTAGATACAGAGACATTTATATGGTTGCTGCCAAAAACACTGCATTTGTTAAAAAAAGGGCCCTTATGATTTATTCGACTGCTACAGACCCATGGATTGCTCAAGGATGGGACTTCATAACCTTACGATCAAAGGTGATCATAGGAATTGTTATTGGGAAGTGTTAGCACTGAGTTAGTAAATGGCCTTGCAATCTGTGCTGTTCACAAGTGAAGTGTAAGGGCAAACCCCGCTTTTGTAATTCTTGGGGATTGGCTGTTGTTTCCACTGATGAAATAACCACAAAACAGGATGTTAGATTTGTCTGTTTTTGGCATTAAAAATGCATCAGCCCTAAGCCTCCCCCCCCCCGTTCTGCAAATCCAAAGGGGATTCCAAGATGTGGCATTTTGAAATTCCCTTCATCATCCCTGGCTGTCTCCTTCCCATCCCTTGCATGTGTGCACACAGACCTACATGTACAAGTACCAGAGTTTTTGGAATATGCCACAAGGAGTATAAGCCACACCAAGCAAAAGTCTGCATATTAATCTTTA